GTCGACAGCAATCTGTGGAGTGACTGATGATCCTGTTGAGTGCGGCGGCCATTTCCATCAGCTTTTGAACCTCCTTGACCAACTGAGGAGAGCCAAGTTCTAGAATTACTGTGATTTGCCTCGGGTTGGCTTCGATTTCGCGGTGATTAACAATGAAGCCAAGGAATTTGCCAGATCCGATCCCAAATGCACATTTGGAAGTGTTCAGCTTCATTTTGTACTTGCGTAGAATGCCGAATGTCTCTTCCAAATCGGCTAGATAAGTTTGCTCTTCTTTGGACTTGACCACCATATCGTCAATATACACTTCCATAGTACGGCTGAGTTGCTCCTTGAACATGGCAGTGACTAGTCTTTGGTAAGTTGCCCCCGCATTCTTCAGCCCCGAAAGGCATAACCTTATAGCAATAGATTCTTCTCGGAGTGAGGAATCTAGTTTTGTCTTGGTCCTCCGGATGCATGACAATTTGATGGTAGCCTCTGTAGGCATCTAGGAAGCTCATACATTGATGATGTGCCGTGGCATCTACGAGTTGGTCTATTCTGGGGAGGGGAAAGCAATCCTTGGGACAAGCCTTGTTTAAGTCCATGAAATCCACACAAACATGCCAAGTCCCATTTTTCATCTTCACAACCACAATATTCGACAGCCATGTAGGATAGGTCACTTCCCGGATTGCCCCGGCATTAAGCAACCGGTCAACTTCTTTAACAATGGTAGCAGTGTGTTCTGCGGCTGACCACCGGCTTTTCTGAATAATCGACTTACATTTAGGGTCAACGTTTAGACGGTGCCGAGAAACAGATGGATCCAACCCCGGCGTCTCGTATGGTGACCACGCAAATACATCAAGGTTGCCGAGTAAGAAGGAAATTAGCTGCTGTCTGTCGACTTGATTTAGGGTAGCGCCAACCATGAAAAACCTGTCAGGATTCCCGTATATTTCAACTCGATCTAGGGCTTTGGTTTCCTTTTCACTTGGGAGCCGCCCAACATCATCATGGCTCTCTCGATCCAGCACCTCAATAGAATTCACTTCCATCTCCCTTGGTGTCTTTGCGGCCAGAAGATAACATGCATGTACCGATTTCTGGAAACCACGAATTTTTTCAATGCCGCGTTCAGTCGGGAAGTGAAGTAGTTGATGATAGGTGCTTGGCACAGCCTATATGGCATATAGCCAAGTTTGTCCCGTGATGAGGTTATATGGCGAAGGAAGCTTGACAACCAAAAACTCCACATCCACTGATCGGGAGCCCGCCCGAACTGGTAGCATGATTTTGCCCAACGAATATTTCGGATTACCGTTAAAGCCGAATAAAGGATAATGAGCTGGAGACAGGTCTGACTCGGTAAAGCCGAGTTTGGTGAAGGTCTTGTAGTACATAACTTCCGAAGTACTCCCCTGGTCAATGTGAACCCGTTCAACAGTGAATCGATTTATGCGTAGTTCGATGACCAATGGATCAATGTGAGGGAGCATTACGCCGACCAAATCAAAATCATCAAAAGAAATACTCGTAGCTTCATGGGGCTGTTTCGCCGGTGTGATTTGCTTTTGGAGGTTAGGATGCGACTGAATTGTATGTACCGCAGAAGCCGTCAGTAAGCTGTATATCATATGAATTACGCCGAGTGTAGGTGAATCCTGCTGCAAAGCAACTATTTTGGTTGAGTTGTTCTTTCAGGCATATTGCTTGAGCCTCCCATCTTGTACCAACTCCTCAAGGTGATTCTTCAACGCATAACAATTGTAGGTATCATGACCGTGGTCCTAATGATATTCACACCGCTTATCTTGTCTTCTCGTGTCGGAAAGTCCCACCATCTTAGAAGGCCATTTAAAGAACGGCAAGTGTTGAACTTTAGACATAACCATACTGATCAGCTCCGATAACTCCGTGTATTTCTTGTCTGCGCGCCTTGCGCGCCTGCTATCCACTTGAAGCCGCTCATTAGCTCGTTGTGAACATTGGTCATTCGATCGGCGCGAATCCCGTCTTTTATCTCGTTTAGCCTGATTCTGTGATTCAGGGCTTTGTGGTAGTACAACAGTTATCGGCTGTACGATTTCAGGCGGAGCCGGCTTATTGGCTTTATGCCCGGCTTTGACCCGTAGGGCATCGTCTTCCACTTTGCAGTATTCCTCGACTTTTTTCATCAACGACCAGACCACTTTTGGGGGGCCATCTGGTCAAAGAGCTGCAGAGGGCACTATCAGGATGTAACCCCATCTTGAAGGCGGTAATGGCGATGGAGTCATTGCAGCCATCATATACTAGATTAAAACATTCCCAATAGCGCGCCGAATATGCATGAAGGGTTTCTCCTGGTTGAATTTGCATTGCTCACAGAGAATTGGCTTGCTTCGGCTGGGCCTCATTAGTGATGAACCTTGCCCTGAAGGATTTTTGGAGTTGGTGGAAGCTTTTGATCGATGCCGACTCCAATTTATAATACCACCTGACAGCCAGTGGTCCCAAACTGCTCGAAAATATTCGACACGTGAGGGCCTCGTCGTTTGCATAAAGCGTCATGGCTTGTTTGTAATAACGAATGTGATCGATGGGATCTGATTTTCCATCATACAGAGTTGGAAGCTTTTGATCGATGCCGACTCCAATTTATAATACCACCTGACAGCCAGTGGTCCCAAACTGCTCGAAAATATTCGACACGTGAGGGCCTCGTCGAAAATATTCGACTCCAATTCATGACTTGTTTGTAATAACGAATATGATCGATGGGATATGATTTTCCATCATACAGAGTGAATGATGGTGCTTTGAACTTTTTGGGTAGCACTGCCCTTGCAATCCGTCGCACAAAGGGGTCATGTTGATCCTCTTCATCTGAATCATTTCTTCTTCACTTTTTTCATGCACGCGGACTTTCTTCAGAAAAGCTGGAGATGTCGACTCGTCCCTTCTTTGTAGATTCTGGGGATGATGAGTCAGAGTCACTGCCACTATCATGTCTCCGAATTCAAGGTTGTCGACCATCATTTCTCAGAGGTCGTCCTGGATCTTGGCGCGCGGCCTGTTGGGATTTTGCCACCTCCAAGGCCAAATCCTGTCGAAGGCACTCGTTCTCAGCCATCATGTTTTCCAACCTCTGTTCGTTTTGCATCGCTTGCTCCATAATCACTTGCATTGTCTCCTGTGCTGATGTCGAGGGTGAATCGAAGTTCAAGGCCCTTCATGCGGTAATATTCTCTGGCCCAAACATGTTTCTTAGAGTGATATCATCTCGTAGGTGTAAGGTCGTCAGTGACTACTGGAGGATTTTCCGTCACGCCCGCCATGGATGTGCTAGAGTATTCCCACAGACGGCGCCAATTGTGGGATAGTGGTTCAGGAATACTCTTTGGATCCTGTAGGACGCTCGCGACCCTCAGCTAGTCACCTGAAAAGGAATGAGCACTCCGGTCGGGGGTGCCAGAATTAGCACTCCGACAGGTTAGTCAATGTATACTCTCTTGGTTGCTTATATCTCAAGTTAAACTTTTTCTCACATACCTTTCTTTGGCTGTTGTTCTTCTATTTATATACGCTAATGGTCCTCAAGGTAGGGCCCACTCTCAATCCGTCGTGTAATTGTTCACTCGGCCCTCTTTTTGTCGTATTCCAATTTTCACTCGACTCCTCGCTCAACTGGCTTTATGGCCGATTAGGTTACTCGGCACCTAGAACGTATGAAATGGGGGCGAATATATTATATATCCTGATTTTCTAAATATGTACTCGGCCTATCTGCATCCCCTGATATTCGGCTCCCACAAGTATATTCAGTATGGATGTGGATTTGGCCTAAGGTCGTTATGTATAATTGTTAAATGGATCTAAGGTCGTTCGGAATAAGTAATTGAATGGACCTAAGGTCGTTTTGGATACAAGAATGAATATGTATATGACTATGGATGTAAATGTGTGCACACAAATGTGCATATGAACTGGACCTAAGGTCGTTCTGTGTGTAAGTTGGACCCAAGGTCGTTTTGCCTATGATGGACCCAAAGTCGTTTTGTATGCTACATGGACCTAAGGTCATTTTGTGTTAGAGAAATGATAGAAAGGACCTGAGGTTATTTTTCTTTATTATTGATTTCCAAGCATAATAGTGAATTATGATTGTAAGAATCTTGTTCATGAACTCCTTTGCTTTGGTATTATTCACTAGGCGTTAGCTCACTCCTTATTTATATGTATGTAGGTGAGTAGCAGGATGTCCAACCTCAGCCCCAGTGAGCAATAAGAAACCAAGTTTTGAGGAGCCAACCAAGGTCGCTTCACGTAAGGGGCCTTACTTTTGTTTTACTTTCCCTTTTGTTCTTCTGTGGTCATGTATGACCAACCCTGCGTATAACCTTAGTTTTTGTTTGTACTGACTTTTGAATGATCCTGAACTTATGTAATACATACATAATATAGATGTTTGTATAGTGTGAATTAATTACATATATGAGAATGTTTTGGTTGAGCCATGTATGCATAGCTCATTGGACAATCTTTGTAAATTCTGCTTCTGCAATTTGGCCCCCATTATTAAATATGATTTGATTTCTGATTGAGGCCACAAGTAATCTCATGATTACTAGCCGGTTATCTCAAAGCATGAGTAATAACTCACACACTTGTCCAAATGAGCAGTAGAGTATCTAGAAAAGGTCTAAGTTGCATTCATATGATAAATGTATGCTTGAATGCATTGAGAAATTGGTAAGTGATTCGAAGTATGCAACTATATGATATGTATTTGCTGCCTAATTGTATAAATGTGCTCTTCTGTACATGAATATGGTGTATATCTTCTGTATGAATTATAATGCAAGTCTCATTAGATAATGGTGAGAACAAGAGCCGATTAGCTAGAAGAATCCTCAATTGCTCGGCTAGACCGAACGGAGAGAATGATGAAAGATATGGCAGAAATACTAAGGCAACAACAACAGTGGCAACAACAATGGCAACACCCATAACCCCCACCTCCGGTACAACCCATGCTGGATTTACAAAATGATGACCGAACAATAGCCCTCACTAAAGAATTCAAGAAAATGAAGCCACCATCTTTCCACGGGGATGTGGACCCATTGAAGGCTGATGCTTGGGTCCTTGGCATTGAGAAGTTAATCGCAGTATTCCGATGCCTGGAGACACAGAAAATGCAATTGGCCACCTTCACACTAGAAGATGAAGCAAGAAGGTGGTGGATGCTAATCTGTGATGATAACAAGGGCATTGACTGGGTACAATTTATTGTAGTCTTTTACGAGAAATACTTTCCACAGTCTATCTGTGATAGAAAGGTGTCAGAATTTGAAGGACTAAAGCAAGGCAATCTGACTGAAGCTGAGTATGAAGCCAAGTTCACTAAATTGGCTAGATTAGCTCTGCATATGGTTGACATTGACTATAAAAAGGCGAGGAAGTTTGAAAATGGCCTTCGAAATGACATCCTAGAAAGGGTGAATGTCTTAAAATTGCCCACTTCTGTTGATGTGCTAGATCGAGCTTTAATGTCAGAAATTAACATGGTGAAGCGAGGTAAACCATCGGCTGACTGGAAGGCTAAGAGGTTGTCATGACCCGAACCCGCCCCCGTGGGTTAACGACATAACCGGCCAGTAATCATGAGATTACCTACGGCCTCAAACCAAGACAAATGTATTTTAACAGAGTTAATGGGGGCCAAACGGAAGCAGTTCAAAAACTTTGTCCATAGAGCTGTGCTTACATGGCACATCCAAGCAACCAAACATATATACATTAATAACTCACAACAGAAATGTAGTAGCATAAGTTCCGTACAAACAGGATCATTCAAAAACTAAGTCAACCCATGAAAACTATATACAACATATACAAAGACTTCGCCAATATAACAACATAAAACAAAATGACAAAAGGCGAAGGCGAGTCTCATGCGTGAGACACATGGGCTAACTCTCCAAAACTCGGTTGTTCCACACAGACTTCACTGGGGCTGGGCCTGGACCTCTCTTGGCTCACCTACAAACACATGAATGACTGTGAGCGATAGCCTAGTGAATAACATCAAATGAAGAATATACATTGGAACAATATACATCAAACGGCCTTGGGCCTAATTTATATTTCTACTAATACATACATACATAGACATATGTAAGTTAAGTAACTGCAGTTCCAATTAGTGTCAAATTGTTATTCGTGTCAAACTGTTATTCGTGTCAAATTGGCCTTTGGCCTTTTCAAACTTCCATATCAAACTGGCCTTTAGGCCTTTCAAACTTTCATATCAAATTGGCCTTTAGGCCTTTCAAACTTTCATTCATGTCAATCTGACCTCTGGCCCATTTATGCATGTCAAACTGGCCTCTGGCCCATTCATGCATGTCAAACTTTCATTTGTGTCAAAACGGCCTTTGGCCCAACCATTTATGTCAATCGGCCTTCGGCCCAATCATTCAGTCAACCGGCCTTCGGCCCAATCATTCATTATTGTCAAAACGGCCTTCGGCCCAATCATTTATTCTTGTCAAAACGGCCTTCAGCCCAATCATTCATGTCCATCGGCCTTTGGCCCAATCATTCATATCAATCGTTTGTCCATAATTCAAATTAGCAAACTTGTAAAGAAATAAGCAATTGGACAATTGACAAACTTCAAAACATCGATATTACTCATAGTGATCGGCTCATGGATTTACCCTAGAGCTTGACCCTACACATCATAGAACACATATGGGTCATAAATGATTCAACCCATTCTTTAATTCACATATTCCTCTTTAGGCTTCCTTCTTATCTCTTTAACTCAATTACAATGCTTAATGCATGCCTAAGAGTGCTGGCAAGTGAAAGAGAACGGAAAACGAAATACAGAACGATCACACAAAATTTTCAGAAACAGGGTCCCCGCTCGAGCGTGGACTTGCCCGCTCGAGCGGACCCATGAGGTCTGCAAAAGTACCAGTTATGTCATTTTTACGCTCGAGTATGGAACTTGGACGCTCGAGCGGAAGTCCATCTTACATAGCTCCCCGCTCGAGCGTGGACTTCCCCGCTCGAGCATATCAAATTGGCCTTTAGGCCTTTCAAACTTTCATATCAAATTGGCCTTTAGGCCTTTCAAACTTTCATATCAAATTGGCCTTTAGGCCTTTCAAACTTTCATATCAAATTGGCCTTTAGGCCTTTCAAACTTTCATATCAAATTGGCCTTTAGGCCTTTCAAACTTTCATATCAAATTGGCCTTTAGGCCTTTCAAACTTTCATATCAAATTGGCCTTTAGGCCTTTCAAACTTTCATATCAAATTGGCCTTTAGGCCTTTCAAACTTTCATATCAAATTGGCCTTTAGGCCTTTCAAACTTTCATATCAAATTGGCCTTTAGGCCTTTCAAACTTTCATATCAAATTGGCCTTTAGGCCTTTCAAACTTTCATATCAAATTGGCCTTTAGGCCTTTCAAACTTTCATATCAGATTGGCCTTTAGGCCTTTCAAACTTTCATATCAAATTGGCCTTTAGGCCTTTCAAACTTTCATTCATGTCAATCTGACCTCTGGCCCATTTATGCATGTCAAACTGGCCTCTGGCCCATTCATGCATGTCAAGCTTTCATTTGTGTCAAAACGGCCTTTGGCCCAACCATTTATGTCAATCGGCCTTCGGCCCAATCATTCATGTCAACCGGCCTTCGGCCCAATCATTCATTCTTGTCAAAACGGCCTTCGGCCCAATCATTTATTCTTGTCAAAATGGCCTTCAGCCCAATCATTCATGTCCATCGGCCTTTGGCCCAATCATTCATATCAATCGTTTGTCCATAATTCAAATTAGCAAACTTGTAAAGAAATATGCAATTGGACAATTGACAAGCTTCAAAACATCGATATTACTCACAGTGATCGGCTCATGGATTTACCCTAGAGCTTGACCTTACACATCATAGAACACATATGGGTCATAAACGATTCAACCCATTCTTTAATTCACATATTCCTCTTTAGGCTTCCTTCTTATCTCTTTAACTCAATTACAATGCTTAATGCATGCCTAAGAGTGCTGGCAAGTGAAAGAGAACGGAAAACGAAATACAGAACGATCACACAAAATTTTCAGACACAGGGTCCCCGCTCGAGCGTGGACTTGCCCGCTCGAGCGGACCCATGAGGTCTGCAAAAGTACCAGTTATGTCATTTTTACGCTCGAGTATGGAACTTGGACGCTCGAGCGGAAGTCCATCTTACATAGCTCCCCACTCGAGCGTGGACTTCCCCGCTCGAGTGGATATCATGGTCTGCAAAAAATACTAGGAGCACGAAATTCACGCTCGAGCGGCAGTTTCCCCGTTCGAGCGGAAATCAAATTTCTGGGTTTTCCAGAATGTGTTCTTGAGCTCAAATCCGACCTCCAAAGGTTCCAAACTCATAATCTCATCTCAAACTTCACATATTCGTGTACCAACATGGTACAAACACTAAATTACAACATAATGGAGCTCAATTTCATAAATCAAACACATGCATGTCCCAATTGACACCAAACTCATTTCAATTCATGCATTCAAACCTCATATAAGCTCCATATCTCCAATAATCAAACATGCATGTCAATTTTTTACTTCAATTCCATTTCAAATAGCAACGATGGTGCTCATAACCATGAGAATCAACAAAACCATGCTTGCATGTATGTTTTAATACCCATATTCTCATATTCAACTTGATACATGCTTGATTATGCAAAATCATGGTGATCCTATACATGCATGTGCATTTCAACTTCAAATTCATCAATTAGAGCACAACTCTTGTTCTTGATCACCAATTAATCTTTAATTCACAAAATCACAAGTTCAAACTCATGAATTCATAATCAATCACTTACCTCGAGGCTCAATCTTCCCAATTTATGGTTAATTCTTGAGCTAGGCTTCAAATTTACCAAGTTCCTTAGCAAATCTCTAGTTTGAGCCCCCTTCTCTCACTAAATCCGGCCCTTTCCTCTTTCTAGAGCATAATTTCAAAAGTTGAACTCAAAAAGGAACAAAAATGAGGGTGGAATGGCCTTAATAAGACCTCCCTTGGTCACATTATTTTAATATAAAATAATTGAGCACTAATTCACCAATTTAATCAATTTAATCTGATCCGAATCAATTTCCAATTAAATTTCACCGTAGGCTCTAAAAATTACACTAATCACAATGGCGCAATCAAGTTTGATTTCGGTTGCCGATAAGGCCTTCAATTCAAATTCCGAAGCTGATAATCAAATAGATATTCCTACAATGAACAGATAGAAATTCAAAACCACATATATTCATATAAATGACACTCAAAATCATAACAAACACATAATCATATGCATAAGGAGGATAAATTAGCATAACACGGAATAGGGGTATCACAGAGGCAAGGCTTTTTCTCAAGGAAGAAATCATTAAAGAAACAAAACACGAGGTCTTCAAGTTCTTCGGGCTCCACTAGAAATACGGCACCAACATGTACTCAATGTGGTAAGAAGCATTGCGGGTTTGTTACCATATTTCCGGGGCTTGCTACAAATGTGGTGAAATGGGGCATATGGCAAAGGATTGCACCCAAACTGAGCAACAAAGAAATGGGAAACCGACTGCTATTTCGACTGGATCCATTCCAAAACCAGGGAACACCACAAGGCCTGCTGCTACCAAAGACACAATGCAACAAGGGAGAGTCTTTGCACTTGTCCCAAGTGACACACGGAATACGGAAGTAGTTGTCTCAGCTACTATCTCTATATGCAATCAAGATGCTTTTGTGTTAATTGATTCTGGCTCAATGCATTCCTTTGTGTCTACTATATTTGCATCTAGATTGACTAGACCCCTAGAACCATTGCCATATTTGTTGTTTGTATCTATTCCATCTAGGGAATCTGTATTGTGTACATCTGTGTATCGTATTTATGATATGTGAATTGGTGATGCTATCTTATATGTGGATTTGTTACCCTCGGACGTTCGACACTTTGATATAATTCTAGGTATGGATTGGTTGTTGAAATATTGTGCCACTATCAATTGTGTAACAAAATGGGTTGTGTTTAAACTGCCATGGCATGTTGAATTTGAATTTGTGGGTAATGGGGTAGTGCCTCCACCTTATTTGATTTTAGCAATGAAAGCATGTAAACTGCTTAGGAAAGGGTATCAATGTTATTTATTCAATCGGTGAGTGTTGAAATGGATAATATTTCTGCTGTTAGAGAATTTTTGGATATATTTCCTGATGAACTACCAAGGGGATTGGTGGACAGAGAAATAAAGTTTACTATTGATGTTGTCCCAGGCACCCAACCTATCTCAAAAACTCTCTATAGAATGTCCATTGCTAAAATGAAAGAATTGAAAGAACAATTGCAAGACTTACTAAACAAGGGATTTATCCAACCAAGCACTTTGCCATGGGGCGCTCCAGTGTTGTTCGTAAAGAAAAAAGATGGAACCTTACGTTTATGCATTGACTACGGGAAACTAAACAAGGTAACGGTCAAAAATAAATATCCATTGTCCCGAATTGACGATTTATTTGATCAGTTACAGGGTTCACAAGT